TATTAAAAGTCTATAATGGGGGATCGGGTTGCACGCTGCAACAGACTTGTTAAAAGTCCATATTGGGGGATCGGGTTTCTCGCCGCAACAGACTTATTTAAAAGTCTATATATACTTGATTAAAATATATATATGGGATGATTGAAAATGAATACGTTGTGGGAGCGGGTTGCACGTTGCAACGGAAATTGATTTAAATAATAATTGATTATGACCGATGAGTTGACTTCAACTATTAGAAATGAGTTACCTTATTTAATTCTATTATTGTGGTTATTACTATTATTGCGTACATGTTAATGTAAGTGACCTGCCTTAGCCTCGTCACTACTTCATCGAGGTTAGGCTCGACACTTACCAATACATGAGGTCGGTTGTACTGATACTACATTCTGCACTTCTTCTGCAGATTTCGGAGTTGGTCCCAGCGACGTACCATAGATTTGCTCGTATTTCAGCTACCAGAGGAGACTTGAGGTATAACTGCATTGCGTCCGCAGTTCTGAAGTCCCCATCTACTTTACTTTAGCTGTGTGCTTGTTTTCAGACAACTTTATTTTATTTAGACCTTTATTTGTATTATTCTAGAAGCTCGTGCACTTGTGACACCAATTCTGGGATGGTATTTAAACACCGTTATTTTATGAATTATTCACTACATTTCAGACTTTACTTTCACATTTAATTCTTGTTATTAATTAATATAAAAATTATTTTAAAATGAATAATATTATTCTAATGTTGTTTGCCTAGCAAGTGAAATGTTAGGCGTCATCACGATCCCGAAGGTGGAAATTTCGGGTCTTGACATTGTACAAGGGACATGATAGGTTGTCTGTAACCCCTGTTTGGCAAGTCTATCTCTGGTCAATAGTCTTCCTTGGACAGCCAAATTCAGTGATCCACTTTGAAAAGCTAAGATTGTTACTACAAGTTAACTTCCTCCAAGAAACCTTATGAAAACTCCCACTTATGTTTTGAAAGAGCTTTTTAATTGAAAGAGTGTCAGCCTAAGCAAATCATCCATTATTAACCCTGCATCGTTAATTTACAACTTCGCTTTACAAGTTTTTGGACCACCCATGATATCATCGAACTTATAATCATTTTTTATAAAAGTTATTAAATGATTTTTTGTCTCAATAAAATCACTCTAACTTATAATAGATAATCTCTTAAAAAATAAATATGGCTGAAAAATCAACTAAATTTCGTCGGTTACATAAACAAGCCTATCATGTTAGCTCGAATTGCCTCAAATCCTTTTCTTTTTATCATTATTTTATTTAAATTACACACAAACTTATAATATACAATAAATAACTCTAGGAAAATGGCATTATGAACCATAAACTAAAAATAAGTGAAAAATACCTTTTAAAGACAACAAAATTCATAATTCAAATAATTGTGTTGTCATCTAACCGTGGCCTTCAATTAATCTTCCCTACACTTCCTTTTAATTCTGTGAAGAAAAAAAACATTAAAGATAGAATAAGAAAAGGCAAAATGCTGAAACTTAGTGCCAGGCTGGCGATCCTAGTACAACTAAACAGCCAATCAAATTTAGGGACAGGATGACCAAAAAAAGAAAAAAGATAGCCAAGTTGGCAATCCGTGTGGAAGCTAAACGAACCAATCAAAACAAGTCACATCCACTCTATATAATCACAGAATGTTATCACTTGGAAAACGTACCGGGAAAGCAATTCAAATTCGAAAACTACTTTCAACATGCCTTCAACAACAGCAACCAAATCGGTGGGCGGTAGAGGGAAAACCCAAAAAACTTCAAAATCCATCTCCAGATCTCAAAAGGCGGGTCTCCAATTCCCCGTTGGCCGAGTTGCTCGGTTTTTGAAAAAGGGTCGTTATGCTCAGCGAGTTGGCTCCGGTTCACCGGTTTATCTCTCAGCGGTTCTTGAGTACCTTACTGCTGAGTTATTGGAACTTGCTGGGAATGCTGCGAGAGATAACAAGAAGAACAGGATTGTTCCTAGGCATATACAGCTTGCTGTGAGAAACGATGAGGAATTGAGCAGGTTGTTGGGATCTGCTACCATTGCTAACGGTGGTGTTTTGCCCAATATTCACCAGAATTTGCTTCCTAAGAAGATTGGCAAAGGGAAAGCTGAATTTGCCTCTATTTCTCAGGAATTTTAGATATGTAGGTGTTGTATTAGGGGATTGGGTAGTGAATTTTGAGTTTTGGGGCAAATTAGTTGGATTTGTTCATAAGTGTACTATGTGAATGGCGAGTTTCTTCATCCTATTGCGTTGAAGTATGTAGAATTTAGTGAAGAAAAAAATTAAAGGATTTCCTATAATTGCTAGATTTCTAATTTCGCTTGCTTCTGTTTTAAGCTCCTTAACCTTGATCATAATTATTAGCAAATCAAATTTGAAAAATCTACAGATCAAAATGGTTTCTCACAGCCATGAAAATTGAAATCAGACTCTATATATTGCGTCAATGGAGTTTTACTTATTAGCGATTTGACCATCTTTAAGGGCATCCTATTGCCTAAAATAAGACCCATTTCTTTTACTGAATTGTGTTGCACTAATCTCCATCGAATTACACAACAAGCAACATGGTGTAACTTTTTGATGTATATTGTTTAAAGTATTTTCAACAATTTAAATGGAAGCCAAATAGTTTAAGCAATACTCCCATTATTTCGAAATCCTTATTCCTAGATTTTATCACTTTTTTTTTATTGGTTAATGATTTTAGTACCTTTGAAACGAGAATCCATTCTATAGTCTATAACTAGTGGTATCAAATTTTAGATCTATCTTCGTTTATGTTGTGGTAATGATCTCGAAAAATTTAAAAGGTCTAACTAACTTCTAAGCATGTATAGTAGTTATTATACAATTAAGAATTATCCACCCCAAACAATGGGAATTAAGCTAGACAGTTTTCCAAATAGAACAGCTGCAATTATTGTTTGACTCAAATATACTTATCTTGAGAAGAATAGCTAGCCAGGCCCCTAACACAACGATGGGGATGTAGCTCAAATGGTAGAGCGCTCGCTTTGCATGCGAGAGGCACGGGGTTCGATCCCCCGCATCTCCATAGTTTTTGGTTCCTGCAATTTCTTTTTTCCTTAGCATTTTTCCTCTCGAAGTAAAGTCGTCTTTACACCAACTCTCCCTCGCTTTATTTTGCGACTTCTATGAATTTCGCTGAAGTTGTCAATGGTTTGCAGTTCAACCTTGCTCCAGATTTGACCGTCTCGAGACTCTGCTTAGGTTAAACTTTCGTTTCATCTGTCTTTAGCAGCTCTTTTAACGCCTCCTTTTATTCTCACAGGAACAATGACTTTCGGTGAACAGAACACCTTGGCCGAATCATTTCAAATCCTCGAACAAAGCCTTCAACTCAGGAATTAACTTCTTCGATTCTGCTGAAATGTAACTAGGTAAGTTCCGCAACGCAAGACCGGCTTTAAAATCGAGCAATGAGTGAGGATTATAAATTAGTCTAACTCTATTCTGAATCGGAATGGATACTTCAACTAATTTAGGATTGAAGCTTAATTGATAGATTTGGAATAAGTTGGTATTAAATTCCAATTGTTGAATTATTATGATTTAAAATCTATTAAGAATCAGGTATTCAGTACCTCAGCATGCAGAAACTCATGGCAGAAGCGAGGAGTATTTCGGGCGTTTGATTAGAGAAAGAAAAGTCCCTGGGGATAGTGTTGTTTTCGCCACTAAGGTCCTCTATTATTAGCCCTTGTTTATTTTCCTCTTCCTGAAGATTGAATTTCAGTTTAAGCCTCAGCATTGTTTGAATGTACTGTGTATGATGTGTAGGACTAGTTAGGAGAATTAGGTTGAAAATGAAAGATTTTCTTATTTCTCTAGAATACGTCTGGTTTTATCGTACTAAAATGTGACAAAGGAGTTGATTATGCAAGCCAGATGTGGATCCAAGATTTAAATCTTATGGGTTCAATTTTAAGATTTTTAACATTGAACCCATTATATTTTTAAAGTTATGAGTTAATATCTATTATTTTTGCAATTTTAATGAATTTTTACATACAAATTTTTACTCCTCATAAAAAATTATAAGGTTAGTTGAACCCGTAGCTAGTACGCTACATCCGCCTCTGATGCAAGCAATTAGCAGTTCTTTCGTACGTCTAGTTGTCCATGAGGCAAGACAGATTACTTGGTTGCCATTAGAAACGAATTGCATTATACAGCTAGCTGTGAGGAACGATGACGAATTGAGCAAGTTGTTGGGGTCTGCAACTATTGCTAATGGTGGGGTTCTGCCCAATATTCACCAGAATTTGCTTCCTAAGAAGATTGGCTAAGGGGAAGCTGAATTTGGCTCTATTTCTCAGGAATTTTAGATATGTAGGTGTTGTTTCAGGAGATTGGGAAGTGAACTTTTATTTGTTCATAATGGTTTTATGTGAATGACAAGTTTATTTCCTCTATCCTCATCCTATTATGTTTAAGTATGTAGAATTTAATGAAGAAAAAATTAATGGGTTTATTTTAATTGCTAGAATTTCTAGTTTCTCTTGCTTCTGTTTTCATCTCCTTAACCTTGATCATAAGGTTGCGTTGGTTTTCACTGGATGGATCTTATTAGCAGACCAAACTAACTAGGGGTAAATAAAAGTATATTGATTCCCATTAACGGAGATGTTGTAGTACTAAGAGGACACCAAGAAGGTGTCCCTTGACTTTGTAATTGCAGAAGAAGCTACAAAGGTACTGAGGGCCAGAATCTTTTCCACTCAGAAGGATGGGTGTAATGGCAGAGAAGTCTGTGGTGGAATAATTACGATTAACAAAAGGATTACTGATCCAGAAAGTGGGAACTCTGGCGGTGGAATTCCAAAGACTTACATTGAAAGAACTAATTGGAAGCTTGTGTGCACTATGGTTTAAGAAGAGGCAAACAAATGATGCATCAAAGATTGCTACTGAAATACATAAAATGGCTTTTGGCAGCAAAGAACAAGTGATAATTCAAAGGTATGGATGTATGGTGTGATTATTAGCTGTTCAATACTGATGATAAATACTACCACTAACAATCACAAATCCGGTCATAATTGAAATTATACTACTTTAACATTACAGATACATTTTGTTACAGAGTGAAATACAAGTGATGGAGGAACTTAACCTGCAATTTACCTAGGCCCTGATAACTCTGATGGAACTGGTAAGCTGATACCAACGACAGCTTCCCTTTCTTGATTAGCTTCGGCATCTCTTCTTGTCATTGGTGGATATGGAAAGCTGTAATCCAAGTCGGTTTCAGCAGCCACTAAACCCTGCAACACCTTAACTACCAATGACATCGAAGGCCTCTTAGTATAATCACTTTGTAAACACCATGCTGCAATCTTCATCATTTCCGCAGCCTCTTCTCTATGAAGCTGCATATCCTCACTGTTCTTGTCCACCATTTCCAAGAGTTGTGTCTCCTTTGCTTTTCTCTTGAACACGCTAAGCAAATGCATATCATCCTCATCTTGAAGACGATCCAAATTCTTTCGGCCACAGATGATTTCCAAGATCACAACTCCAAAACTATAAACATCTACTTTCTCTGTAATGACCGAGTTCAACCATTCTGGTGCTAAATAACCTGGCGTTCCTCTCATTGTTGTAACTATCTTACTTTCATTTTTTCCCACGAGCTTTGATAACCCAAAATCTGATACTTTTGCATTGAAATCATGATCAAGAAGAATGTTCTGTGGTTTAATATCCAAATGAATAATTTTGTTGTTACAATCTTCATGTAAGTAAGCTAGGCCCTTGGCGACGTCTGATATAATTTTTTTCCTGACATCCCATGTGAGAAATTGTTCCTGCTTTCTGCAGAAAATCCACCTGTCTAAAGAGACATTGGCCATGTATTCATAAACCAGAAGCCTGTGTGATTTCTCAGCACAAAATCCAACAAGTCTTACCAGATTGACATGTTGAATGCTACCTATTGTTGCTACTTCAGCTAAGAATGATTTCTTCACATTACCGAAACCTTGGAGACGCTTCACTGCTATTTTAGTGCCATCGCTCATTGTTCCTTCATTTACAGAACCAAATCCTCCTTCCCCGAGTTTCTTACTGAAATTTTCTGTCATAACAGTTAGTTCCTCAAAGGAAAATCTGGTAGGCATTCCTGGTACATGGTCAAGGAACTCCTCCTCCTCCGCTTCCTCGAGTCCTATTCTCCTTCTGGATAGAAAGGCAAAGCAAGTTAAAACCATGAAAAGCAGACCAAACGAAGCTCCAATGGTGGATCCTACAATTGTTGCCACACGCTTTTGATTCTTCTCTGAAGACACAAGTGATGGAGAGGCTTGTAGGTTAGAAGAGTTCTGCACCTTAATAAAAAGAGTGGTTTTATTGAGTGCTCCATCATTGTTCACGAGCGTAAACACTTGATTCAACAGTACGCAGTTACCCATTGAGTTAGCAGGATCACTAAATCGAAATTGAGCTGCTTTGCAAGAACAGGTGCTTAAGCAAGACCTTTTGCAATCTTCCAACTCCGTATTGTTGGTACTATATTCCAAATAGAGGGGAATATAAGCCGTGTCCTTAAGCTCCATAAGAAGATGATATTGGGAATGCGCACAAGATACAGGTGTGACAAGGACACACCCCTCATTTGGCTTCTTGTAATTTATTTGCTGGAGAAAGTTTGTCTGACCAACTGCAGTTTGAGGACAACTACACTGCCCATTTCCACAAACAGAGTAATTCCCACACACAGTCGGATACCCGCAGTCACCAATGGAGGCTGTCAATATATCAGCCTCCTTTGACCAAGATGATCCTTCCCAGTAATACACCCTTAAATGCCCATCGGCCTCAAATTTCAAAAATCGAGCTTCTCCTTCACGGTAAGGGAATAACATCCCTAGGTAAACACTCAAATATACCAAGTTGCGTAGATTCCTCACATTATTAGAAAACATTACGTCTAAGTCCGAATAAAGCATTGAGAAATAGAATTGGCGTGGATTTGACTCAATGTATGCAAAAAGGCCAGAACTTTTAACTTCAAATGTGAACAAACCTTTATTCCAGTTTGTTGCTGATATGCTGGATATCAGCTTCTGTCCAGGAGGCATTCTTTGTCCAGGAACCAAACAGTCAGTAGGGTGATCAAAAGACTGCCAAATGGTGTCATTACTTTTGCCAAAGAGGACAAGATTTCCCATCGTTGTCAAGTTGAAGCCTGAAACAAGCTGCTTTCCACTTGTGTTTGTATTCCAAACCAAAGTGCCATTTAAGTCCATCAAGAACATTCCTCCGTCTTGCCTAAGTTGCAAGGTTGAATTAACTCTAACTGGATTATTCCTATTTGCTGACCAGACTAATCTCGGATTATCCATATAAGGATAATCGATATTTGGAAATAAAAGGACACCAAAAACGCAAGCAGTGCCATTGTAATCACATAAGAAGCCACAAACAAACCTTGTCCCGTTGCTTTCCCTGAGAAGGATGGGTGTCAAATTGACTCCATCTGTTGAATTCACTACATAGGAGGGGCTGTTGATCCAGGAAATGGAGGAATTGTTAATAAAAGTTTGAGAAGGTTGCCCACTAATCAGATGATGTGAAGAAAAGATGAGGAGACTAACCATGAAAAGAGTGGCACGACATGTGCTATAATCAAGAACCATTGGATTGGTTTTCAGAAAGTAGGATCTGCTTGAGTAAGTGGAAATCAACTCTTCAAAAGACAGTCCAATGATCCAACATAAGCTTACCAAAAGAAAGAAAAATTGAGGCCATGTCTTCTGGCTTAATTTCCAGTCAAACCTGGCGAATAAGTCTACCCAAGGCAAGTCCTCATTTTTCTATTGCACAGTTAATAGCTCAAATGGACAATTGCTTCTACGTGTGGGCACCATAAGGCGATTTTCCACGCGGGGACGCCAATAAAACAAACTCTTTGATTTTTTCTTATCATTTTTTAAGTGACTTCAGTCGTAGTATGGTAGTCATCCTAGTGAGTATATATATTCTTCAGTTTTATTTCAGTAAATAAGGAGATATCATGTTCCATCTCTTAGAAAAGTCATTTCATCTTTTAAATTGCAAAGGCATGAAAGGTAGCGCACAATGCCACCAGTCAATACACACACTTTTAGGTTCAGAGTTTTATATATGTGTGAATGATTAGGAAAATTTAATATATAATTAACACTATGTTTGCACATATTATACCAACTACCAAGTGGGTGCAGTGTTCTCATACTAGCTTAAAATTCTAAAAGAAATTCAACTTATATGCAATTATTATTAATGAGTCATAATGTATTCTGTTTGCTTCAGTAATTTAAAGAGATACTCTTTTCGTCTCTTAGAATATCACTTAATCTTAGAAATTGCGAAGGCATGAAATACTTGTGGTTTTCGCTAATCCCTAGAAGTAGTATTGAGAAGACTGAGAGAGACTCCTAGCACAACCCTGGATGCACAATGTTATCGGTGTGTCCTAATTTATGCAATACTATTTTTATTAGTACGTTTTAAAAATGAATCACATATTTTTATATTAGAAAAAAATTTAAATTTCTCATTTTACCTTATGTCCTTTACAGCTTGTTTGGATGGTTGTTATGTATCGTTTCATAATGTATCGTATATTATTGTATTGTATTATATTGTATTGTATTGTATCGTTTTGATATATACAATGTTTGGATAGATTGGATTGTTTGTCGTCGTTTCATGATGTCATGCACCAATAATATGAAAAATAAGGTACATGTAAAATTATTATATAAAAAAATAGGGTAAAACATCAAATATGATTATTTAAGAATAAAAAAGGGCAAGATAAGATAACGACGCGACCACGCCAAATCGGTTGTTCCATAACTTAGATCTATCTCCTCCTATTCTAAATAAGAGTTTAGTCTTTTTTAGTTTTCCGTCCTATATCATTAATTGGATATGAGTAAACGAAAGGGAACAAGGTTCTATATTATCTTAGCTAAAAGAGAGTAAATTAAGAAAGGCTTTTGACATGGATTTTAATATTGGAGAGATTAAAAGCTAAACCATAAAGTTGGTGTACTATAACTTTATTGATATTTGATTCCTTAATTACTTATCTCTTAAATTAATAGAATATTAATCTTTTAATCACCAAATACCAGCATGCGGATCGGTTGATAATACCAGAAGTCAAAAGAACTAACATAATTTTGAAAGTACAAGAGGGGGTGAATTGTGGTATATTAAAACTTGATTGACTAAGTGTGAGTTTAGTCGACTAGTTTTCGTACAGCACATAGATAAGATAGAGATGGACCAAATGAATTGAAAGCAAAATAAGGCACAACAGTTTTTATACTGGTTCGGTACCGGTGTGATACTTACGTCTAGTTTCCCTGGGTCACAAGGGTTCTCTTAGATCTTGATAAAGAATTACAACAGTGATGGTTTTAGTTCGTTCACCATCAATGATGTTTAGCAACAATAATTTCTGGATATTGACACAACTCTCTTTTGTGTTCTAACTCCTCCTAACTTTTATGACACTTGTAGACTCAAGAATACAGTGTTTGTATTAAGAACTAAAGAGACTTAGAAGATTGTTTATAGTTGCGTATTGGATCCTTGAGTTTGCCAGTATTCTTATAGGCGAGTTTTGAGAGCTGTTGTGGATTGGTCTTTGATTGATGCCCACACCATTTTACTGATAAAAGGTGTCTCTGATTCCTTCAAGAGAGACATGCTAGATTAATTAATCCAAAGAGAGCTTTGTTTCATGCCGAAATGCTCCATGCTTTTATTGAAGAAAGGAGCAACACTTCAAATTGTCTCCATTTGATCGGGTGAATTAATTAATCCAAGGAGTGCTTCATGTTTTATAGAAGAAAGTAGCATCACTTCAAATTATCTCCCATTATGTTGTATTTCCCACTCAAATTGTCTCCCATTGCTTTCATCATTCCTTCTTGGTTTTCTTGGCTTGAGCTTCTACTGAATCTTATGTGATTTGCTCCATTTTTGCATACTTGAGAATCTTGATTAGCGTTGATTGATTTCCTTTTTGATGGTGCCTTGATTCCTACAATCAAAATAGATAAGATTTAGTTTTGCACAATTTGTCATCATTAAAATTTAGATGTAACAATCTCCCCCTTTTTAATGATGACAATAAAGAGAGAATAAACAAGTATACTTCTCTTTCATCACTTGAGATGTTACTAGATGTACTTATTACTTCTCCCCCTGAGTTGTTACTAGATGTACTCATTACTGCTCCCCCTGAGTTGTTGACTTACTGTAACGATCCGGTCGGTCGTTTCGGGAGTTATAGCCCTGTCTTCCTTATTTCTATTTTCTTTATGCTCTTAAGCTATATTATGATATACCAGGTTAGTTGGTTTGGGTCTGAATTGGTTTCAGAGTGGAATGAGACACTTTGTCTCTTATTTAGAACCTTAAGTTGAAAAAGTCAACCGGATGTTGACCTATATGTAAATGATCTCGGATTTGAATTCTGATGGCTCCATTAGCTTTGTTAGGTGATTTTGAACTTAGGAGCGCATCTGGAATGTGATTTGGAGGTCCGTGGTAGAATTAGGCTTGAATTGACGAAATTGGAAATTTGGCGATTTCGGTCGGCAGTGAAAAATTTGATATCGGGACCGGAATGAAATTTTGAAAGTTGGAGTAGGTTCGTAGTGTCATTTGTGACGTGTGTGTAAAATTTGAGGTCATTCAGGCATGGTTTGGTTGGTTTCGGCATCGGTTGCCGAATTTAGAAATTTAGAAGTTCTTAGGCTTGAATCCGAGGGTAATTTGGTGTTTGGATGTTGTTTTGAGTGATTCGAAGGTTCGACTAAGTTTGTATGTTGATATATAACTTGTTGGTATTTTTGGTTGAGGTCTCGAGGGCCTCGGGGTGATTCCGGATGGTTAAAAGATTTGTCGAAGTTGGAAGATGCAGCTGAAGCTGTTGCTTATGTTATTTTTGCACTTGCGGAAGGAAGGATCGCAGGTGCGGGGCCACTGGTGCGCATAGGGGTTCGCAGGTGCGGGCAATGCTGGGCTAGGCAGGATGCACAGGTGCGGGAAGGTTATCTCATCTGCGAGTCCGCATGTGCGAGACCTATGGTGCAGATGCGGAAGGAAGGAAGAAGGCTGGCTTCGCAGATGCGGCGCACCACACGCAGGTGCGACAGGTTTGCTGCAGATGCGAAACCTGGGTGTTTAAGTGACTTGTGCAGGTGCGGTTATTTGTTGGGACCGCAGGTGCGGTCGCGCGGGTGTGAGTAAAACGCCGCAGGTGCGAGAAGCCTGGGCAGAAGGTACATATTGCACACTTCGCGAATTTTGGTGCATTCTTCACCATTTCTATTTGGTTTTGGAGCTTTTGGGAGAGATTTGAAGAGGGAATCAAGGGGGTTTTCATTGAGGTAAGTTACTTGAGCCCTAATACTCGTACATATGGTGATTTCCCGTTGTTTAATTATGTAATTAGTAAAAATGAGGGGTTAGGGCTTGGGATTATTTTTGAGAAGTAATTTAAGAATTTGAAGGACCAAACGATGTCAGATTTTGATGAATTTGGCATGATTAGACTCGTGAGTGAATGGTATTTCTAGTTTTATAAATTTTGTCAATTTTCTAGACGTGGACCCGGGGGGCGGGTTTGAGCCAATTTCAGGTTTTAGTCTAATTTTGTAGCTTTTCTTGTGGAATTCATTCCATTAGAGTGTATTGATAGTATTGTACTAATTGTGAATACATTCAGAGCATTTGGAGGCCGAGTCCAGAGGCAAGAGCATTGCGGGGTAGAGATTTGACTGGTTTGAGGTAACTAACGATTGTAAATCTAGTCCTGAGGGTATAAAATCCCGAATTTTTGTACCATTCTACTATTTTGAGGTGACGCACATGCTAGGTGACGGGTGTGTGGGCGTGCACTATAGGGGATTGTGACTTGGTCCGTCCCGTAGCAACTGTAAAGTTGTATATTTTTGTGGAAATTATATGATACTTATATGTTTTAGAAAGAGTTTCTGTAAATTAGGCTGAATGCCATATTTGGGCCTTGTGTTAGTGCTGTTTGGATCCTTAGGGGCTTTTTCTTACTATCCTCTCACTGTTTTCGATTGAAAATCTATACTCAGTCATGGTTATACTTGTTTACTGCATAACTCAGTTTTATGACTCTATTTTGATGCATATAAATGTTGTTTTGGACTGAATGTCCTGTTTTTACTTAAATGCCCGAGTGGCTTGAGAGGTTTATGACTGAGTGAGGCCGAGGGCCTGATTTGTGAGGATATTTATGGGATCGGGCTGCACGCCGCAACATGTTTGATATAGGCCGAGGGCCTGAGTGATTTATTCCATGATTTGGCTTGATATAGCGCTTGGACTGAAGGAGCCCCTCTGGAGTGTGTACACACCTCCAGTGAGTGCAGGTACCTACTGAGTGCGAGTGCTGAGTGACTGTGAGACATGAGTGATTATGAGGTATGCCCGAGTGGCAAAAGTGATGGTGAGGTATGCCCGAGTGGAAAGAGTGATTGTGAGGTATGCCCGAGTGGAAAGAGTGATTGTGAGGTATGCCCGAGTGGCACGAGTGACTGTGAAGTTTGCCCGAGGGTCTGTTTATGATTTCATCATTTTTTCTCACCTTTGCATTGAGCCTTTGTTTGAAAAACTGTTGAAAAAAAATATCTTTAAATGACTTTTACTGGAACCGGGTTTAAACGAGATGATTTGATTCAAACACTGATTTTTGAAGCATGTTGTACCTTACTAAATTTTTGTGATATGAACTTGATATGCTTTATTGCTCGTCATTACTGCCCAGTCTTTATTTATTGTTGTTACTTACTGAGTTGGCGTACTCACGTTA